ATGTTAGCATACCAGTACCTGCCATTTTAGCATACCAGTACCTGCCATGCCAGCATACCAGTACCTGCCATGCCAGCATACCAGTACCAGCCTTGTTAGCATACCAGTACCTGCCATGTTAGCATACCAGTACCTGCCATGCCAGCATACCAGTACCTGCCATGTTAGCATACCAGTACCTGCCATGCCAGCATACCAGTACCAGCCTTGTTAGCATACCAGTACCTGCCATGTTAGCATACCAGTACCTGCCATGTTAGCATACCAGTACCTGCCATGTTAGCATACCAGTACCTGCCATGCCAGCATACCAGTACCTGCCATGCCAGCATACCAGTACCTGCCATTTTAGCATACCAGTACCTGCCATTTTAGCATACCAGTACCTGCCATGCCAGTATACCAGTACCAGCATACCAGTACCAGCTATGTTAGCATACCAGTACCTGCCATGCCACTGAGTCGTTCCACCTAAGAATGATCTTCCTCAGTCAGTCTCTGCCTCTACTGTCCTTAATCTTCCCGGTTGTCACAACCTTCTCCAGATTCCTTCATCTCATTGTGAGGTTGAGTGATCAGTGTTTTATGTGCATCTGCTTTGGCACGGGTCATTAACAAGACAGTGCACTTGAGGTCTCTAATATATAACTAAGAGATAATAATTATCTTGTCCTGCTATGGAGAATCTTTGAGTTTTGTTTGTTCTTCTAGTCATTCATGGAAGTGCTTAACATTCCCTGAAATCAGAAATTTCTTTTATCCAGATAAGAATTTAAGCAAGATAAATTGCCAGGGATAAACAAATTGTTCTTCACGACATAAAATCATCACATACGAGATCACCTTAAGCAGTTAGTACTGTATACGACAATGAATCTGGTTTTCTGACTTCCATGTGTAGAGATTGGTGCTATCCAGGTTTTGTGTTATCCCACTTCTATATTATCTCATTTTAGTGTTTTCTCATTTCAGTGTTTTCTCATTTCATTGTTATTAGTGTAATCAGAAAAGCAAAGTTTGGCTATGAACTCATACTTCCCATCACGAATGCTTGAAAATACCCATCATAAATTCTGCCCTACTGTTCAGTAAAAATAAGAATAAAAATGCCAATTGCTGCCTTTATTACTGGTAGTCTGGTAGTTTTAGTTTCAGCTTCATAGCAAACGGTTCGCCCCATCTTTGCTCCGCTCCTGTGCCAGCGAAAAACACCCAGAATGTTTATTACAGTCCCTTGTGGAAAGATTGACAGACTGCTGTCTCAGCATATCTAGCATACACTCGCATTAACGCATATGGTAGCCATCCGAAGTGCTAACACAAACAGTCCAGCATTAGAAATGCAGTTCATCATTGACGATAGCAGAACTTGTCGCCAACAGATCAGCAGTTGCCCACGCGATCAATTGTAATCACACACGGGCACCGCCAACATTGACGACCGGCATCGCGCCATTTTCTGAATCTACAATTCACACCACGTTGGTCACAGTCGAAAAAACATTCCAAATGCAATCCGCAGCTCACAGGGTCACGCCATGCATTCAACTCAGAAGCTGGGCGACGAAACTATATCCAGTCTACAAATGGAGCAAAAAATACTTCGGCCACCGTCCGGCAGAAGCAAAAAATGTGCCTCCGCTCCGAACAGCGCCGCTGTCTAGCGTCCATTTTAACCGGAAGTCTCTACTTTTTGCGGTGTAGGCAGGGGGTCTTTGAGCCTGAGGTTTTACGACCGCATGGCTAGTGCTGTCGCCTCAACTGCAGGTGAGGATTTTATTTTTCTTCCAGCAGAAAAAATCCCTAGCCTTACTGAGGATTCGAACCTGGGTCTTCCACTTGAGAGCTCAGCGTTCTAACTGTTCGGCCAGCCGCTCCTCGCTGTTCAGTAAAAATTACTGTGAAGGTATGGGTCATGGTGGCGTAGTAGTTAATGCAGTTTCCTGTCAAGGCTATTGCCCACTTGGAAGAGGCAAGATTATGTTTTTTTTTTTATTAGTATGGCTGTGGAGTCAACCTGTATTGTGGTTTACAGCTAGGCTGCAATATCTGTGTCTTTTGACCCAATACACCCAATTTCAGCAACCCCCAACATAGTCACCTTTTACTACATGCTTGTTGGGGACAGTGATCCGATTCTTTCCTCCAAAAGTGGGTCCCCATAACCCACACAGACCCGCAACCCACACAGAGATACATTTTTCTAATTAGTCTTCTTCTTCTTCACATTCACCAGCTGCAAACTCTGGCAGAAAGTTCTGGTTGTTCGTCCACTTCTGAACGCTAGTCCTGTTTCACAAACTGAGTGTTGCATGCGCATCTGTTGGACAGGTCTGACTCATTTACATGCAGACTGCTGGTTCTTTGCCTCTCAGGCAGATGTACTGTGACTTCAAAGGAAGCTCCCAATTAGTCAACTCTTACAACATGCTCTTGGGCAGACAGTGGGTCTTTTCCTGTTTTCCCCACAATGGGGTCCCGGAAACCCACACAGGGATTTTCTAATTAGTAAACCCAGGATTACGAAAATGGGTTCTGACAAATGTTAGAAATTAATTGGGAATTGTCTTGGAAGAACAGATTATTGGCCACCTCATCTCATATTTCATGCCTGGACTATATGAAAGCTAAATGACTATGTGACCTCTAACATGAATCTATGAATGAATTGTTTTAAACCTGGCTGTTTTAATTCTGCCAGATTTTAGAACAAAAGTTTGTGTGTGTGTGTGTATTTTTTAAAATAAAAATGACATGGCAGCAGTGGATTTAAACACAGTAACAGAAATACATAAACATGATTCAAGTTTGTTCTCCAGTGTTGTACATGACTGATTTACAAATGTGTCAAACAAAATTTGAAGGTTATTTAAAAAAAAATGAAGTCAAAATGATAAAATCTGATTTAATGAATGTTCCATGATTATTACATTAGTGGATAAGTCAGTCTTTGTATAATTTTATTTGACCAGTGCAACTCAGCTGTAACATTTGATTTAGCCACTAAGTCACATCTGTGATATTTGATTTAGCCACTAAATCACATCTGTGATATTTGATTTAGCCACTAAGTCACATCTGTGATATTTGATTTAGCCACTAAATCACATCTGTGATATTTGATTTAGCCACTGGGTCACATCTGTGATATTTGATTTAGAAACTAAGTCACATCTGTGATTTTTGATTTAGCCACTGAGTCACATCTGTGGTATTTGATTTAGCCACTGGGTCACATCTGTGGTATTTGATTTAGCCACTAATTCACATCTGTGATATTTGATTTAGCCACTGAGTCACATCTGTGGTATTTGATTTAGCCACTGGGTCACATCTGTGGTATTTGATTTAGCCACTAAGTCACATCTGTGGTATTTGATTTAGCCACTGAGTCACATCTGTGGTATTTGATTTAGCCACTGAGTCACATCTGTGATATTTGATTAAACCACTGAGGAGCTGCAGTTGTAACAATTCACTTAACTGTTCAACTAGTGAATCACGTCTGTATTGTTTACGGGGGGCTGCTAGTCTCAAGGCATGTTGTCCGCCTCGAGTGCTAGAGGTTCCGGGTTCAATCCCCGGTAAGGGCTGTGATTTTTGTTTCACATGGACTTGGACTTCTTGTAATCCCCCCTGGTCTCTGGGTAGTGAGACCGGACGCCCGTGTGCATTGTTGCGCTTGTAAAAAAAAAATTCCTTGACAGTTGCAAATCGAAAAGAGTAGCCTAATGGCGCTGCCTAGGCAAAATTTCGAGTTAAAAATCTATCCAAAGTATTTTAGAATCCTCACCGGTGCTACAGAGCCTGTGCACTGTGCTGAGCTTCTTCGGACTTAGACTTGAGTTAGAAGAAGAATCGAGCACTTATGTGCCATGATGTTGATCCGTTGTTCAAACCTCAAACCTCAGTCTGTATTGTTTGATTTAACCAGCATGTCGAGGCTAAAACCTTTGATTTAGCCACTGAGTCATAGCTCTATTTTATTTAACTAATGCAGCCCCTGGAACATTTGATTTAAAAATGAATCATGATTTAATATTTTATATAACAAATTGTCACTGCTAGTAATATTTGATTTGATCAGTGAGAATTTATCCATTGTCTCACATCTTGAATACTTTGTTAAACAATGAGTCACAGCTGTGTTATTTGATTTAACCAGTTAGCCACAGGTGTAAATTATATTTAACCAGTAATTAACCAGTAAACTGTAAAAACCAGTGACTCAGAGCTGTAATATTTGATTTAACCAGCATATCAAGACTATAATACTTGATTCAACAGTACGTCACATCTATAATATTTGATTTAACCAGTGTATTAAGGCTATAATACTTCATTCAACAATAAGTCACAGCTGTAATATTTTATTTAACGGTGATGAATTAACCAGTGAGCCATATCTTTAAAAAAAAAAATCTCATTCAACAAAGAAGTCATAGTTGTAATATTTCAATCAACCAATGAGGATGTAACTAGTGTATTAAGGCTATATTACTTCATTCAACAATATGTCACAGATGTAATATTTTATTTCTTAAATGAATCACCCCTTTGAACATTTGATTTAACCAGTAACAAATTAATCAGTGAGCCACAGCTATAAAACCAAATTCAACCAAATTAGTTGTAGTTAAAATATTTGATTTAACCATTAAATCAACATTTTTATATTTGATTAACCAATGAGTCAAGATTTTTGCAGTCGATAATGCGATGAGCCATAACAATGTTTATAACATTACAACCAGTAAGCCTTGACTGTTATAGCCAATTGAGCCAATGAAGACGTCGGCAGTTTCTGGCTTCACAGTGAGGTGACCTGTTCATCGGTTTACTGCCCAGGTAAAAGTCAGCATGACAGAATAATTTGAAAATCTTGAAGAAACATGGACTGACAAAAAGCGAGGCCAGGCACCCAGGCTGGTTTGGTATACTGCATTGCCTGCTGGTGCTTTGAGCTGGAATGAAGCAAATTAGCCAAAGAGTCCTTCGGTCTACGACTGGTGGTAGCGGGATTCAAAAGCCTCATCGTTTGAAGGCATGTACGAGAACCCCTCAAACACTCTGTCAGCCTCCATGACGCTGGCGCTGACAAGTTTACTTGCGCAGCCACCCGACTTGCCCACGGACGCTGTGGATGAAAACAGAATTACAGTTTAAAAATTTGTCTAGTTGATTTACAACACACAGTCGGTCATCCAAACCCCTTCCTCTTCTACGCCAGACTGAAAAAGTACTGTATAGTCTTGAAATATGTATATATGCACCACTGTCTACTGTTCGCCCACATAGCAATGCCAGCTCTTCACACACAGCAATGCCAGCTCTTCACACACAGCAATGCCAGCTCTTCACACATAGCAATGCCAGCTCTTCACACATAGCAATGTCAGCTCTTCGCCCACACAGCATTCCAGCTCTTCACACACAGCATTCCAGCTCTTCACACACAGCAATGCCAGCTCTTCACACACAGCAATGCCAGCTCTTCACACATAGCAATGCCAGCTCTTCACACACACAGCATTCCAGCTCTTCACACACAGCATTCCAGCTCTTCACACACAGCAATGTCAGCTCTTCACACACAGCAATGCCAGCTCTTCACACACAGCAATGTCAGCTCTTCACACATAGCAATGTCAGCTCTTCGCCCACACAGCATTCCAGCTCTTCACACACAGCATTCCAGCTCTTCACACACAGCATTCCAGCTCTTCACACACAGCATTCCAGCTCTTCACACACAGCAATGTCAGCTCTTCACACACAGCAATGCCAGCTCTTCACACACAGCAATGTCAGCTCTTCACACATAGCAATGCCAGCTCTTCACACACAGCAATGTCAGCTCTTCACACATAGCAATGTCAGCTCTTCACACATAGCAATGCCAGCTCTTCACACACACAGCAATGTCAGCTCTTCACACACAGCAATGTCAGCTCTTCACACACAGCAATGTCAGCTCTTCACACATAGCAATGTCAGCTCTTCACACACACAGCAATGTCAGCTCTTCACACACAGCAATGTCAGCTCTTCACACATAGCAATGTCAGCTCTTCACACATAGCAATGTCAGCTCTTCACACATAGCAATGTCAGCTCTTCACACACAGCAATGTCAGCTCTTCACACACAGCAATGTCAGCTCTTCACACACAGCAATGTCAGCTCTTCACACATAGCAATGTCAGCTCTTCACACATAGCAATGCCAGCTCTTCACACACAGCAATGTCAGCTCTTCACACATAGCAATGTCAGCTCTTCACACACAGCAATGTCAGCTCTTCACACATAGCAATGTCAGCTCTTCACACACACAGCAATGTCAGCTCTTCACACACACAGCAATGTCAGCTCTTCACACACAGCAATGTCAGCTCTTCACACATAGCAATGCCAGCTCTTCACCCACATAGCAATGTCAGCTCTTCACCCACACAGCAATGTCAGCTCTTCACACACACAGCAATGTCAGCTCTTCACACACAGCAATGTCAGCTCTTCACACATAGCAATGCCAGCTCTTCACACACAGCAATGTCAGCTCTTCACACATAGCAATGTCAGCTCTTCACACACAGCAATGTCAGCTCTTCACACACAGCAATGTCAGCTCTTCACACACAGCAATGTCAGCTCTTCACACATAGCAATGCCAGCTCTTCACACACAGCAATGCCAGCTCTTCACACACACAGCAATGCCAGCTCTTCAAACACAGCAATGCCAGCTCTTCACACACAGCAATGTCAGCTCTTCACACACAGCAATGTCAGCTCTTCACACACAGCAATGTCAGCTCTTCACACATAGCAATGCCAGCTCTTCACACACACAGCAATGTCAGCTCTTCACACACAGCAATGCCAGCTCTTCACACATAGCAATGCCAGCTCTTCACACATAGCAATGCCAGCTCTTCACACATAGCAATGTCAGCTCTTCACACATAGCAATGTCAGCTCTTCACACACAGCAATGTCAGCTCTTCACACATAGCAATGTCAGCTCTTCACACACAGCAATGTCAGCTCTTCACACACAGCAATGTCAGCTCTTCACACACAGCAATGTCAGCTCTTCACACACAGCAATGCCAGCTCTTCACACACACAGCAATGCCAGCTCTTCACACACACAGCATTCCAGCTCTTCACACACAGCATTCCAGCTCTTCACACACACAGCATTCCAGCTCTTCACACACACAGCATTCCAGCTCTTCACACACAGCATTCCAGCTCTTCACACACACAGCATTCCAGCTCTTCACACACAGCATTCCAGCTCTTCACACACACAGCATTCCAGCTCTTCACACACACAGCAATGCCAGCTCTTCACACACAGCAATGCCAGCTCTTCACACACACAGCAATGCCAGCTCTTCACACACAGCAATGCCAGCTCTTCACACACACAGCAATGCCAGCTCTTCACACACAGCAATGCCAGCTCTTCACACACACAGCAATGCCAGCTCTTCACACACTGCATTCCAGCTCTTCACACACACAGCATTCCAGCTCTTCACACACACAGCAATGCCAGCTCTTCACACACACAGCAATGTCAGCTCTTCACACACACAGCAATGCCAGCTCTTCACACACACAGCATTGCCAGCTCTTCACACACACAGCAATGCCAGCTCTTCACACACACAGCAATGCCAGCTCTTCACACACACAGCAATGCCAGCTCTTCACACACACAGCAATGCCAGCTCTTCACACACACAGCATTCCAGCTCTTCACACACACAGCAATGCCAGCTCTTCACACACAGCAATGTCAGCTCTTCACACACATAGCAATGCCAGCTCTTCACACACAGCAATGCCAGCTCTTCACACACAGCATTCCAGCTCTTCACACACAGCAATGCCAGCTTTTCACACACAGCATTCCAGCTCTTCACACACAGCAATGCCAGCTCTTCACACACACAGCATTCCAGCTCTTCACACACACAGCATTGCCAGCTCTTCACACATAGCAATGTCAGCTCTTCACACACAGCATTGCCAGCTCTTCACACATAGCAATGTCAGCTCTTCACACATAGCAATGTCAGCTCTTCGCCCACACAGCATTCCAGCTCTTCACACACAGCATTCCAGCTCTTCACACACAGCAATGCCAGCTCTTCACACACAGCAATGCCAGCTCTTCACACATAGCAATGCCAGCTCTTCACACACACAGCATTCCAGCTCTTCACACACAGCATTCCAGCTCTTCACACACAGCAATGTCAGCTCTTCACACATAGCAATGTCAGCTCTTCACACATAGCAATGTCAGCTCTTCACACATAGCAATGTCAGCTCTTCACACATAGCAATGTCAGCTCTTCACACATATAGCAATGTCAGCTCTTCACACATAGCAATGTCAGCTCTTCACACATAGCAATGTCAGCTCTTCACACACATAGCAATGTCAGCTCTTCACACATAGCAATGTCAGCTCTTCACACATAGCAATGTCAGCTCTTCACACACATAGCAATGCCAGCTCTTCACACACACAGCAATGCCAGCTCTTCACACACACACATAGCAATGCCAGCTCTTCACACACATAGCAATGCCAGCTCTTCACACACATAGCAATGCCAGCTCTTCACACACACAGCAATGCCAGCTCTTCACACACACACATAGCAATGCCAGCTCTTCACACACAGCAATGTCAGCTCTTCACACATAGCAATGCCAGCTCTTCACACACAGCAATGCCAGCTCTTCACACATAGCAATGCCAGCTCTTCACACATAGCAATGTCAGCTCTTCACACATAGCAATGCCAGCTTTTCAAATGCTTCTTCTTCAGCACTGTTAAACATTCTTTCACTCAGTCACAACACCTTTACACTGTCTCTCACACTAACATGCATGTGTGTGTGCATGCATGAATACATGCACACGCAAAGGCACCCACCACCCACACACACAGAGAGAGAGAGAGAGAGAGAGAGAGAGAGAGAGAGAGAGAGAGAGCAGTATCAACTACTGTCAGTTTTCACAAACCTAGTATCATTGCCCCAAGATAAACACAATAATATCAGCATTTCACACAAATAGATTGATAACTGTTCAAATCTACAAGACAGTAAAGATATCTAATTGACTGCCACAGATTTACCCTATCCTTTGCTACATATCAAACATTTATTTGACCTGTTTATATATATATATATATATATATATATATATATATATATATATATATATATATATATATATATATATATATATATATATATATATATATATATATATATATATATATATATATTTTTTTTTTTTTTACCATTGCTAGTCATTCAACCCTTATTCTGCAGTCTTAAATTGCTCCGCCCCCTTCCCCCCTTCCCGCCTACAGCCTGTAATGGCCAAACCACATTATGAATTAAATGGCAGAGTCTTGTACACAACAACAAATCTACCTGTCATAATTACTCTTACCTGGCACCGGTTCATGGACAAACTCGGGAGAGAAGTGTTTCAAGTCAAGGTGTCCACTCTGAAACATTTCAAATGTAAATCTTGTTTTATTTGTACGGACAAGGTCTAGGTATTCACAAACATTAACTATGGCTCCCAGGGCCACCTAGTCTAAGATGGGTACCAGACGTTATGGGAAGTAAAGGCGGCTAGCATGATGTTGACAACATCACCCACCAAGTGCTGAATGAATGAATCAAGAACTGAATCATTGCACTCGGGACATTCCCACATGCCCTCCGTCCCCTTCTTCAGTAGCCAACGGAGAGTCAGCATGCAGATAGTGCCAGTTGCAACCTGAATAAAGGTCCACTTTTTAATTCCCTTCAGTGTTGGATATCTTTCAAAGCCTCTGCTCAGCCTCTCTGCTCAGCCTCTCTGCTCCTGTTAAATTAGTCTTTCAGTGTATGGGTTATCTGTCTGCTCTGTTGCAATGTCCAGAGAGCCTTCATCATGTCTGCTTTATCACAAAGTAGCACAACACCCAGAGGAGCAGCAACAGCAAATCTATCACCCTTTACATCAAACAAGTGCTGTTTGGTTGAGCATCATATGTTGATGTCCTCCTCCCCCCCCCCCCCCCCCTCCCTAATCCCCCCGGGCATAAAATTGTCTTTTAACTTGTAAATAGTTAGACAAGACTGGTTTATAAAGTTGTAAGTTGGAGTGACATCCCCTAGAAGTGTTTTCATGAGCAGCCTGACTGAGCAAGATTAAACGTTCATTTAGTGATCTTCTTCCTTGTCTTCGTGTTCACTGGCTGTCAACTCTGGCGGAAAGTTCAGGTTGTTCGTCTACTTCTGGACTTTAGTCTTGTTCTAAATTCTGAGTTGTGCAAGCACATCCGTTTTACAGGTCTGGTTTATTTGTATGCAGACTGCTGGTTTCTTGCCTCTCAGAGGAAGTCCTAAATTAGCTGACTCCTATGACATGCTTTGTTAGGGAAGGTGATGGGTCTATTCTTGTTTTCCGGACAGTGAAGCCCTAGAACCCACACGGGAAGATTTTGTTGATGTGAAGGGATGTTAATAACTTAGCTGAAGAATAGTTTTCAGACACCAACTGTGAACATGTAGTAAACATTCATGCTTTTGAATCTGATAAAATACTAGAGTAGACCAACTTACCACGTTAGGATTGTATGGGGGCATGATTTTTTTGTCGTACAGGTCTTGCCAGTTAATCTCACGGAAAAAGATATGGTTCTTGATGTCTGTAAAGTCTTCTTTCGCACCCAGGCGGTTTTCTTTTTTCTTCTGTAAAAGCTGTGTGAATACAAGAAAATGATTATGTTAATGCAATAAATCCATGTCAATGATGGTTAGGATGAGAATTCTCACATGCCAGATAGAGCTAGTTTTAACATTTGGCTGTGAATTTGTGACAATTAATAAACAAGCCAAACAATTTCTTGAGGCTGCGGAGTTTTACCAAAAATCCTTAGAATTCCTTGGACAGCTAAAATGAGCAACCCAGATATTTTGAAAGAGGTGAGGGCTCGATAAAAGCTTATCAAAAACATCAGAAAGAGACAGTCATCATTTTTTTGGACATGTTATGAGAAGAAGAAAACTGGAATATATGGTGACCTCTGAAAGATCTTTGGAAAAAGAGACAGAGGAAAACAACGCTAGAAGATTCTTGACAGTCTTTTGTCATGGTATGGAGAGGTGTCAACACACAAGATCGCAGATTATGGAGAGGTATGATCGCCCATGCCAGATGACAAGGCACTTGATAATGATGATGATGATGAATAGACATATAGACATGAGTAAAAGAGATTGGCATTTGCAATACACACCTATAATTCTGAATAATACCAGAACACAAGTTAGTTAGATAGTCGACAGATTATCCTCACTGCATGTCGAACCTCTCAGTCCATAAGTGCTCGGATCCTCTCCTCAGTAAATCCCGCAGCGTGTAGGGGCTGACAACACCAGTTCTGTGTAAGTTTATTCTTCTTATTTGGCTACCCATGTAGTGTTCTTGTATGGCGACACCGCCTTTAACTTACAGTTGCAGATTCACAGTTCTCAATTGGTTCACGCAAACATCTTAACTATCTTAGAGCATTCAGTCTATCAGCCTGGTCCATGGCTTGCCCGGCTTTCACAGTAGCTTTACCTGTAAGTCTATCAGCTTGCTCATTTCCTGGTACCCCTACATATCCTGGCACAAAAATGAAACTAATCCTTGTCAGCCGTGAACGCTGTAGAGCCATCAACAACTGCCTTGGGACCCAGCCCTTCTCTATCTTCCTGAGCATACTCATCGAGTCACTGAGAAAGCATGCCCCGGTGAAAGTCAGTGTCTCTAGCCATGTTACTGCTTTAGTCACAGTTATGACCTCCATAGTCAGACTACTTGTAGTTACGGCAAAAGCTCCAGAATCTTCCTCCACAACTCTCCCTCCAACCTGAGCCGTGAAAGCCCACGAGCTTCTAACATGGCGGATTACAGAACCATCTGTGTAAATGACAGCATCGCATTCTAGAGCGTTCTCGAAAACCAAGGCTTGAACTTCTGCTTCCACAGCAGCCGGACTCTGTTATCTACATTTTATGTCTAGTTGAATGCAAACAGAAAAAAGATGTACAGCACTCTGAAGGCACTTGCATCTCACTGGGCTCTATGTCCTCGAGTGAACATACATATAATAATGTCCTTGGTTTGACCCATCCACAGTTTCCCTCTTTTTAACCTGCTGCCTTTTGTCTTCTTAATTTCACTATGTTATGGATGGTGAGGTAGGCATGTGCTCGGGAAATTTGTATTCTATCTTCCATGGTTGGAAAATCAAGAAGGTAGTGCACAGCCCTGCATGCTGTATCTCTTGTGCACCCAAGCATAATGTGCATAGCTTCGTTCTGTATCCTTTTCATCCTTTCCACCTGCTTATGGCTGAGAGTCAGGATCGCCATCGCCATCGCCATCGCCATCGCGTATTCAAAAACAGAATAGAAGACTTTCCCAATAACCCAGCATAACCTGGAGAAAATATCCAAAGGACGCTAACTACTCTAAACCTATAAAGCCAACATTATGTCCCTATGCCTTCCGAAATCTTAGACAGAATCCTTCCAAAACAATTCCTCAAAAATGGTAACTACTCCATTTGATCATCATCAGTTCTCATTGTGCCAAGTGGCACTTGAGGCTTCAGAGAGGACTTTCCATGCTTTCCTGTCCTGTGCAATCTTCAGTGCAGTTTTCCATGTCAAAGATGCCGCACTCAGGTCACTTTCCATCGTTCGTCTCCATGTTGTTTTTGGGCGCCCCTGTTTTCTCTTTCCCTCTGGTGTCCATGTGAGAGCTGTTTTGGCGGGTATATCAGGATTCGTTCTCATAACGTGGCCAAGCCATTTCCATCTTCTCTTGGTTATCATACTGTTTATAGTTTCTTGGTTTGTGACTTGAAGTAGTTTAGTGTTTGAGATTGTATCTGGCCAGAAAATTTTGATAATTCTACGTAGACATGTGTGGTGGAAGGTGGACAGCTTGTGTACTCCATTTGATGTGGCTGGGTTAATCCTAGGTAGGTAGGTAGGTAGGTAGGTAGGTAGGTAGGTAGGTAGGTAGGTAGGTAGGTAGGTGCACTGCTGGGGAAAAAATTGTCACGTTTAACAAGCATCCCTGACGGAGGAGCTTTAGGTTATAATTGTGACCAGGTTATGTGTGCCATATAAAATGGTTAGCACTGCACGCCACCAAGAGCCCTGATGCCATCAAAGGAGACAGACCCAAAAACTGTCCCGACTGACAATAAAGTCGTCTACCGGCGAGCCAGTGGTGGTCCAGTCGCCGATGTGTGTGGGGTGAATCCTAGACCACACCTGTCAGAAAAAAAATGCCTGCCTCTGCTAAAGATTTAAACGGGACAGTCCTGTTTTTAGGTGTGCCCTGGCCCTCCCATCGAAACACCCAGAAACACTACAATTGTCCAGTTTTATAAAAGTCTAAGCATATGTGGGGATCCTATTAGATTTCATACGTTATTTCATACGCACGCACGCACGCACGCACGCGCGCACGCACACGCACACACACACACACACACACACACACACACACACACACACACATATATATATATTTTTTTTAATCAGTGCAGCTAAGGAGCACAATGTTCATTTGATACCTGGGCAACAATAGTTAGAATTTTAACCGTGCCTTTGCCAATCCAATTTTAAAATCCTTTTCACCCAGGTGACCTAAGAGAAAAAAAGGACAAGGTAAAAAAAACAAGGGGGGGGGGGGGGGGAAGTTAAACTGACTTACATGAGATGTCCTGTTTTTGGCTCAAAATATTAGTGGAATGTTTTTATCATGGAATTGGGAGTAACAGGTCGATCCAGCCTAAAATGGGTACCAGGATGTGTTTTGGGAAAGTAAAGATGGCAGGCGTAATGCTGACCACATTTCGTACCTAGTGCTCATTGTCTGTAAAAAATATGGGTGCTCTTCGCAAATGCCCGATGTGCCTGAGGTGTAAAAAGGGATCTTTACTTGACTTTTACTAAACCGGGATTTGTTATAACATGCTAGCATATAACCATCTCTCAGACATCAATGATTTGAGGCAGGCTGCTCCTGGACGGTGCTTCCACCCCCCCCCCCCCCTTTCCCCCTTCCCCAATTCCTTTTCACAAGGAACTACTCAAAGTCTGAGTTGTCAGATTGTCCAGGTTAATTACCTGCCTTGAATATCTTCTTCTTTGTGTTTGGCATTAAAGGGGGAAAGCTGGCATTTTACACTGTGGCTTATTAGGGTTAGGCTGCAATATCTTTACCCGATTTCCTGAAATGGTCATTGTCATGTTCACTGTAAATTCGGGTGAAAAGCTCTGGTTGTTCATTCACCTCTGGACCTTAGTCTTGATTCAGACCCTGAGTTTCGCATGCACATCTGTTAGCTTATTCGTATGCAGACTGTTAGTTCCTTGCCTCTTAGGCAGATGCAATCTGATTTCAAAGTCAGTTCGGGAGGCAGTGGGTCTATTCTTGTTTTACCCACAATTGGGGAATTTCATCAAACAACAGCAAAAATATTCACTTTTTATGTTTTTATGACAAGCTTGTTAAGGAGCGTTACCCCCTGTGGGGGGGGGGGGGGGGGGTGTCTTGAATATGCTCGCTCCACCCAGCAGACATAAAGTAAGGCACACATTTTCAACACTGTTTATAGAAGGGAGATGACTCAAAAATGTAATTAAAACTACCTACCCCTTCTAGCAGTGATCTCCCTGCAGAAGAAACCATTTCGTCACGCACTCGAAGTGATTTATGGAGGATGTTGTCATACATTTTTGACTGAACCGAGTCATAAAATGGTGGCTTTATATGGAAACAAAAATTACAACAGAATGTTAGAAATTTGCTTTTAAACAATCACTTAGATACATACAACCAGGGCTTATTTCTGGCGTTATGCAACAGTGTACCTTCTTAGACATCACTTTTATTGGTACTTCTTTAATATGTACAATAAAGTTTGTGGTGAGTACCGGCACTGATTTTTCTAGGGAAAAACAGCACTGCATGCCTCTGTTCTGTTCGCCCACCAGGACTTAACAGAGGACATAAATATAATATATATAATTTATGCTGTGACCATGGATCCTCAGTTACAGCAATGTGAAAGATTGAACAGGGTATCTGGTGTTCCCTTTTGATTTCAGCTAGCATATTTGGAGTGGGACAATACACACACACTGTCTGTCTGTCTCTCTCTCTCACACACACGCTCTCTCTTTCTCTCTCTCTCTCTCACACACACACCACACACTCTCACTCACTAGCTCACAGTTATTTAAAAAAAAAAAACAGGAAACAGAGGGAAGAAATTAACGAGGTTAATTTACTTACCAAACCATGCAACATCTCGAACAAGACGGAGCCTAAACACCACCAGTCCACAGTTTTGTCGTAAGGCTTCTTCCGCAGAACTTCTGGTGCCAGATACTGCCGATCAAAGATTGATACACGTTTATTTATGGTCATATATTTACCTAGTACACAAGAAATTCTTAAAATTCCATGGACAGCCAAAAAGAGTATGTAGATAGTTTGAAAGTGGTTTGTGTGTGTGTGTGTGGTCATGTTATGAGAAGAAAGAAACTGAAACACGTTTTGACAACTGGAAAGATCTGTGGAAAGAGAGACATAGGGAGACAGTGCAAGAAAATTATTGACAGTCTTTTGTCATGGCATAGAGGGATGTTAACATACGAACTGATATAGGCAATTGTGGATCGCAGATTGTGGATAAGCATAATTGCCCATGACAGTCGGCAAGGTATTTGATTAATCTGAGGATAATTACTGCCCAAAAACATATGAGGTGTTTTAGCGACTGGCAGTACTAGCAAAAATGACATCAGAATCTTTAACATCTTTATTTTTAATAATACGGACTTACGTCTCCGTCGACTTACCACGGAGTACCTTCTGACTTACAGGTCAGAAGTCAAGTTTATATTTTTCAACATTATCTTTAACACTATCACCACCATCTTCTTCAACAACATCATCATTATTTTCAACATCATTAACGCTAACAAAAAAAAACCATACAACTCTGTGACTACCTATTTTCTGGAGATCCATCAGTGGACATGCCAGAGGTATGTGATCAACAAATGATCAGATGGTGTGGTAATGATCAGATGGTAGGGAAAAAGATAATAAGGTTCACCACAGGAACTTACTTCCGGGGTTCCACAAAAAGTCGACGTGGTGCCCTGGCCAACAATTCCTTCCTTGCACAATCCAAAGTCGGTCAGCACAACATGACCCTGTGGACAGATGAACAAAAATACAGACACTGTGCTACAGTCACATGTGTGGTTTTGGAAGATAATTTTTGTAAATCGAGTGTGAGGTTTAAGGGTGACATTCAAATGTTTTTTGGTGTAAGTAAGCTGTACCCCACCAGCACATCACACAAAGCGATTAACACCCGGTGACATGAAGTGCCACCATGCGGATGAGGATCACCCGTGGAGAGGTGCCAGAAAACCAAATTGAATGGTCAGGTTATATTAGGGCCCCCAGCAACAGCCATGGTGGGGCTTTACAATACTGAAAAATCATGTCCCACAAGGCTGACGGACTGACTTGCTACCCCACCAGGACATCACACAAGCGATAAACACCCGATGACACAATGTGCCACCATGTGGATGAGGATCACCGTGGAGAGGTCCCAGAAACCGAGTTCAGCCATCAGGCCACACCACATCTATGGCCCAGCTATATAGCGGCCCCCGGCAAGAGCCAGAGTGGGGCTTCAAAAAACGAAAAATTGCATCCTAAAAAGGACGGTGAATAGGCAAGTCCCACAGGGGGACCATAGGTTCACATATTATTGTCTTTTTTTTTAAAATATCCAGAAACCATGAGTTCTTAACCCTTTGGCTTGGTACTATGGATATCGCAACCCTTTGGACTTGATTCCATGATAAGTACCGTAAATCTGGAAGAAATGTGGTTTTCCTGCCTTCCCCCGGGAGTGAACCTGGACCACAAGGAGTTCGTCACCCGGTCACCATGATGTCAGGTTGACTGACTGACTGACTGACTTTCTACCCCACTAGGACATCACACAAGCGATAAACACCCAATGACACAAAGTGCCACCATGCAGATGAGGATCGCCGTGGAGAGGTCCCAGAAACCGCGTTCAGACACCTGGCCATATCTATGGCCTGGCTATATAGCGGCCCCTGGCAAAAGCCAGGGTGGAGCTTCAAATAAACAATTTTATCCTGAAAAGGACGATAGAGATAGTAATGTCAGGTTTAACCAACTTGGCTAGAGAGCCGGGCTAATGTGAGGTTTAGCATAGCCACATAGCCCAGTTATATTGGGGCACCACAAAACTGTTATGAGTTAACAGGTAGTCCAGTGTGGGTGGGTTAATGTGTTGATGCTGTATATGGCGCATCAGGGTCCTCGCCGGTGCTACGGAGTTTGTGCACTGTGAGGAGATTCTTCGGACTTGTGTTAGAAGTAGAACAGAGCAATTAAGGGTTACTACTCTTGTGCCATGATGTTGATCCATTATTCAAACCTAAATCCTAAAAAATCTCAACATAGGATTAAAGGGAGACAACCACTACAGTGCAAACATGCTTGTGACTCTTTATACAAACACTGCTAGATAATGACAGTGGGAGTCCTTATCTGACCCCATGTGGTATGTGGAGGATGACACACTCCAGGTGAAGATCGACAGCTACTAATTATTTAAACCATTAAGCTCCTCATTATTAAGGTCACGACCCCAGAGATTGACAGGGAGCTGAGCTGGTGAGTGGTAGTGTTGGGATGACAGGTTCTCGCGTGATGAAAGAGTGGCCTGATGTTTTGGGGCTAGAGTAAGTTCAGACCATGACAGTCGGCCATTTTCAGGCAAACGTCAGAAATAATGGGCACCTACTGTCAGCCATGACAGCTGAGTTATCTCTCTTTTCTTGTTTCTTTCTTGTCTTTCTGTGTGGCTGTCTTTAAACACCTTTTTTTTTTTTTAAATAGATAAAGATAATGCCATGTGTAACAATTTACCATGAACTAGACAAAGATGCAGTAACAGAAATTAACCCTTTACCAAGAAGTAATTAAACTCATCAGAAGCAGACGATTCACATTCTGTGTGCACATCCTGGGAAAAGGGAAATTGGAGTGTTTCGTGAGAAAGGGAAAACTGGAGTATTTTGTGAAAAGGAGAATCTGGTGTATGCTATATGAAAGGAAAAAAAAAAGAGTATGTCGTAAGGACGGGAAAGCTGGGAGGGAAGAACGGCAGGGAAAAACCAGGAGAGATGTGACTGGGTATTTTAGCATCGTGTCAAGAAAAACAGATTTAAGTAACTGTAGAAATCACAGCCATTAATACCATTAGGCATGTACTTTAAGAAGAAGATCGCCCATCTCTCTAGCGTAGTTGGCTAAACCAGATTGCGCAGTGAGCGGGTGATGAACTCCTTGTGGTCCGGGTTCACCCCCGGGGGTAGGCATAAAAGCCACATTTCTCCCAGATTTACGGTATTTACAATGGAATCAAGGCCGAGAGGTTGCGATATCCATAATACCGAGCCTAAGGGTTAACAACTCATGGCTTTTGGATACTAAAACAAACAAACAAACAAGAAGAAGATCATTATCAGAATGGGGATGAAAAATGGAAATCTGTGTGTGTTAATTTTCTTCTACAGGGTCTTCTCGACTTACGATGGAGTGCCTTTTGACTTATGGGTTGGAAGTCAAGTCTATATTTTTTTATCAATATTTTCATTCAAACAGGATTTAAAAATTGCCCATAAAACACAAAAATCCAATCTATGTACCTCTACTTACTGTACACAGGTATCTATGTATACTCTATGTATACTCTATGTATACTCTAGCATCAGTTCTGAGAACTTTATGGCCCTATCAATGTAGTTACCTTTCTTTATTTACTATTTTTTGGTTTTGGTGGTCGTAAGTGGGGCTGGTCATAAGTGGGGCTGGTCATAAGTGGGGCTGGTCATAAGTGGGGCTGGTCATAAGTCGCATAGGTTGTAAGTCAAGGAGAAAGTGTATACTGTCTGTCAAGAAATTTCTTGTATTGTTGTGTCTTCAAAAAGACCACGTTGTTAACTGTCTGGCTTGAAGTGGACCCAGATTGGTTGGCCTGATCAGTGTCTGCATGAAAACTTTTATTCCAGCAAAGGCATTAACTACAGCCTACAGACTATAAGAAAAAGAACCATTTCAACTTTGTCTTAAAGTCTACTTAAGTCTACTAGAATTAATTGCCTGGCTTCACCTGGGAGAGTGAAAGAAAGTCTTATTCTGTCTTCTTTGTGTTCGGTTTCATATGTTCAGATCAGACCATCAGGCGGGTTGCCTCTATGAACTTGCATGTCAGTAGCAGGTCCTTTATGGTTCCCCATAGCTTGATCTGCACACTTTTCTCTTGAGGCCAGGTGTCTTTTTGAAGTTGTGTGTAGAGTGGGCAGGTCTGCAGAATGTGCTCAGATGTTTGTGGTCCTGTTTGACAGGCACACTGTAGGGACTGTACAGTCGTTATTTTATGCATGTGGTAGTTGAGCCTGCAGTTTATAGGACCTCTCCCCGGGTGATCCTTATCTGCATGGTGGCACTTTGTGTCACTGGGTGTTTATGGCTTAGTGAATGTGCTGGCAAGTTTGAATTTCATTCATTCATCTATCCACACACAACCTTCTGTCTGGTATATATTCAGCCACTTCTGACACAGATGATCTTCCCTGCAATGGTGTCATACTATCCAGCATCTTCTCCCTCTGTGTTCCTCTGCCTCTTTTCCCCTCCAACTTTCCCATCAGTTTTTCTCCTTCTTATGACACCATCAACTACCATTTAAACTAACTTCTTCATTTGTCAGATATCTAGTAACATGTTTAAGGAAGTTTAGTTATTAAAAAAAAAACCTACAGAAACTGACCTTTGAATCGAGAAGAATATTTTCTGGCTTGAGGTCTCTGCAAAGAAAAGAAGAAACGAGCTGATGAATCAACAACATACGTCCTAGGGTCATACAACTTCACTTGCTGTTCATATTGTTGACTTGTCTACCCACTTGCCTGGTCAGGGCAGTGGACCGGGTTCAATCAACTGAAATGCCTGTGGGGGACTTTATTTTGGAGAAGAGAGGAAGACAATGCAACAGGATTTTTGACAACATTTTGTCTTGTCATGGATGGTGTCATCAGCACACGAAATAATACATGCTGCTGATTATCGCACCAGAGGCGTAGAAAGGGGTGTATGGGGTGGGGGGCTTATAACTGAGAAGGATGGGCAATATGTCGAACATCTGTATTTTTAACATAACAGAAATATGTGTGTATGTATGTGACAGAACATTCTCCGCACTGGGTATCACTTGACCTTGCTTCACCACTGGATTGCAGATTGTGGAGAGGCATGGTTGCCCAAGCCAGTTGGCAAGGAATTGATGATGATGATGGTGAGAAAAGCCAAAGTCAGTTATATATGATAACGAAAAGTACTTTTTCTTTCTTTCTCCCTTCCTCTGGACCATTTATTCATAGTTCTGGCAATAAATGAATCAGGTGACATTTCCTCAACGAAGGCTCACTTCATTGGATTGACAAGATGATCTGTTTGTCGTCCTCATTGTGAACTTCCTCAGACTGCTGGTCGTCCTTCAGACCTTCTCTGGACGCTACTCTCCCACTTGTATCACTGCCATCCTCTTGTTCGCCTACATCTGGGGGATAGCTCTTCGCTCTTTTTGTAGTTTCAATTTCACCTTGCTGGTTGTTTGTTAGTTTATACAAGGCAGATGTGGTCAAGGCCCCTTGGGAACAAGCAACGGAAGCAGTAGAGAAAGAAGATTATTATGGCCTAGAGAGAATGAGGCACCTGGTGTAACTAGAGGGTCTGGCCGGCTCACTACACTCAGAGAAAAGTCCAGATGGACATATAACCAGATTGTGACCGGTACCATCAGAACTGGAACTCTGCGCTGGCTGCTGAAGACGAGGATGGGGCATGCATAGAAATGCCCCAAATGCTGTGATTTCTTGACTCAACTCAACTTGTTAATTTATGATTTCCTTTTGATGGGTTGATAAAGACTTCACAGTAATTACAAAGAAAACAGACTCTTCAAAACGTCACGTCAAAGGGACAAACCTCAAGCATGTTTATATGTTTGACTACCTGGTTATCCTAATAAATAACATCAGATGGAAGATTTTTTTTATCAAAGCCAAGGCAGCATTTTACAAAATGAAAAATATTCTATGTGATATTTCTTTGTCAACTGAGATAGAGAATTCTGAAGGTGACAGGTTCGATTCCCGGCACGGTAACTATAGCTTTCAATTTTTCTGTTGCCTAGTGTGTTCCTCCATCTTTCTACTTCTTTCTATGAGTGTCGATGAATACATTCTCTGTTACTTTATTAATATATAATATTTAACGGCCTCAATGGTTCCTCTTCTGTTTATTTAAGAAAATTCTCAAGAGCTTTAGAAATCCTACCCTGGTATACGGAAGTGAATCATGGATAGTAGTCGACGAATCATGAAAAAAAAATATCTGGAAGCTGCGGAGATGTGGCCTCAAAAACAACTGATAAGAATAGTCGGGCAGATTTTAAAAAAAGAGTAATGAAGAATGCTGGAAGGAAACGGACTAACGAAAAGATCTGACTGCCCATGTCAGAAGGAGACAATCTTTGGTCATGTCACAGAGGAGTAGAAAACTGGAGTACACAGTAACAGTGGGGAAGTTGGAGGGAAAAAGACGCTGGGAGAGAGGACGCTGGATAGTTTGACATTTTGGCATGGAATGTGGTCTGTGTCAGAACTGAATAAAATTACACGAGACAGAATTTGTGGACAGACATGATTACCAACGCCACACGGCATGAACTATACGAAGAAGAAGACAATAAAGACTGGTCGAAACGTTTGGTTGTTTCTTTTCCTAACTCTGTACAGCTTTCTGTCCACATTTTGTGTTATGATAAGCTACTGAATGTTAATGGCTTGGCCTGGTTTGGCATACCAGAGAGACACACAGGCATGTCATAAGTACATGTCAGGTAGTAGATCACGAGAGTGACCCACGTAAACACTTCGTGGATATCTTCAAATAGGCGTTACACTGGCAAACTGGCACAAGGCCAGGCAAGATTGCCAACAAGGGCAGTACTCGAGATAAAGAGAATTACTTGTGGGACACACTAGATAAAAACACGGCTAGGGACAAATTACTAATGTAAATACAGTCCGTAGGTACTACAGATAAACAAACACTAGAAGTGCCGACACATAAGAAAACACAGGGGAGGTTAAGACCGCTTATAAATTTTGTAAGTGGCGTGGGAACGAGAAGGGTGGGGATTAGGCACAAGCCTGGTTTAAGTCGCAATAATAATAATAATGTCCCTGTGTGGGTTCGGGGAGGGGGGGGGAGGTGGAGCCCACTGTCCCTAATAAGAATTTCGTTAAGAGTAAACTTATTAGCAGTGTTTTCTGCCAAGTTGGAGTGCATCTACCTGAGAGGCAAGGAACCAATAATCTGCTTACAAAGTAAAAGCGATGTACCAGCACAATACAGAATCTGAAATAAGACTAAACTTCAAAAGTGGACGAACAACCAGACAATTTCCGCCAGAGTTTGCAGCCGGTGAAGGCGGTAGAAGAAGAAGATAATTATAATAATATTCTTAAGGATGAATACATATGAAAATATAGATGAAATATTATATAAATATATGAAATACTTCGAAAGATAACTTTTATACATGGTTGGGGTGGGGGGGGGGGGGGGGGGGAGGACTTTTAGTAACCTATAGTAAAATTATTGGGAGTGGTTGAAGATGGCCTAACCACCAGGATCTGGCGCCCTTGGAATAAAATGTCTGTCTCTGAAAAGGTTTCTAACTGTAATTTTCGCTACGAGACAACATCACCGTCTGACCCAGTGCAAGGATGCTTTCACTGGGGCTCTTTCTAGGGCAGTATGTCACCGCAGGGAAATATATGCCTCAACACCCGCTCCTCCCCCACCCCTCCGCCCCACATCACATCCCGTCTGCAACTGTCACATAAATCAGTAAAAAAAAAAATTTTTAGGGAAAGTTACCGAAATAAATTTTAAATTTAGATTTTATGGTAAAAACTGACGGACTGGCAAACATGCAGATACAAAAGAGGACAACAGTCAGACAGCTAACAAGACAGACAGACATCATCACCCCACTACAACTACCACATCAAGAAGTGTCATTTTTTAAAGGGAAATGGCGAAAAAAAACACGTCATATTTAGATCAAAGAAATTGATGGACGGAACAGAACGTATAGTCAGATAAAAAGGTGGACCAGGCAGACAGACGGACGGACAGATGGAGGGATGGATGAATAGACAGACAGACAGACAATGCGAGAAAGAGAAAGGGGCGGGGTTACGAATATATCAAAACTACCAGTCACGTCATCTACCAGTCACGTGATTACCCTAGTGATTGAGTTCAAGGACCATTTCTGCAGTAGCTGGAGTGACAAATGCCTTCATCTGTCAAACTAAAGATCCTTTCACCGTTCAACGCGTTTATCTCATCTCTCAGAATGCATCTTTACTACTTGTTCCCTCCCTTCCCACACTTGTTGAAAATCACTACATCACTACTACAACACACACAAATACACACTAACAAACATACGTTAAATAACATGAAAGGGTGGGATTAAGCTGTCAGGTATGCAAACGTTGTCGCCGACGCCTGGAGCAGTATCTAAACTTAGAAAGATCGGTGTGTAAACTTGAACACAGATTTCTATAAACTTCACAACCCCAAGGGGGCAAGGAAGGTGAAGGAGTTGATGACCTATGACTCACTCGGTTGCCAGGCGACGGTCCTATCTAAGAACCGAAAGGGACCGTTATGATGTAATAATGGACATGCAACCATCACACTTTGTTGACGTTTCCGGTTCCCTCTTTTCCCCATTTAGATGCTATTTCTATCTAGTGTCTCCGTGGTGAAGTGGTCAAGCGGTCTGCCTCGCGCTCTGAAGGACATGGGTTCGTTTAACGACTGCATCGTTCAGTTCACGAGTGCAGTTTTTACGGAGATCCCTTGAGATCGTCGCCGGAACTATGAAGTTCTACCTTTGTGCGATGCTCCCAGGAGGCGACTATCCGTTCTGCGGAGGGACACGGGGAAATATGGGATAAAACCAGTGAAGTTGATCCTCAAGATTGTCTGGAACTAGCAGAGTGCCAGCCAAACAACACACGAACAAGGGGGCTAGAGAGTAGTTACCAAGATCCGGAGGACATGGGGAGAGCTGCACGCGATAGCGAAGGACTTAGCGAGAGTTGGTTGAGGGCGTATTTTCATTAGGCGTTAGAAAGGCAGAAGAACAACTAGTAGTTCTGCTTCTTCTTCTTCTTCTTCTTCCTCCTCCTCCTCCTCCTCATCACCCTCCTCCTCCTCTTTTTCTTTTTCTTCTTCTTCTTCTTCTTCTTCTTCTTCTTCTTCTTCTTCTTCTTCTTCTTCTTCTTAGGTTCACTGACTTTAAGCTCCCGGGGAAAGTTCTGGTTGTTCGTCCACTTCAGAACTTCAGTCTTGCTCCAGAACTTGAGTTTTGCGTACACATCCGTTTTACAGATCGGGTTTATGTGTACGCAGACTGTTGACTTTTCGCATCTCAGGTAGATGCACTCAGACTTCATAGCAAACATCCGCAATTATTTGACTATTACGACACGCTTGCTAGGTGGCAGTGTGCCTATTCCCAACCCCCCCCCCCCACCCCGAACATGGGTTCTGAAACCTACAAGTGGATTTTTTAATAGTTATACTAACTCACTTTATCCTTCGTTTTCCATGATCCTTCCTATTCTCATTTTCTTCTTTCTATTATCACATCTCCATCCGAATTCCTATCAGCTACCTCCATCATCTCCTCCTCCGCTCCCCTCCCCACCACCACTGACCCGCCCCCTGTCACCACTGACCCGCCCCCTGTCACCAGTGGTCCGCCCTCTGTCACCAGTGGTCCGCCCCCTGTCACCAGTGGTCCGCCCCCTGTGTGCTACTCACCGATATATGATGTTCAAGGAATGTAGGTAGCCCAAGGCACTGGCGATTTCTGCTGCATAAAACTTGGCGCGGAATTCGGGAAATCGGCGCTCTCGTTGTAGGTGGAAGAAAAGCTGGAAGACACAAGGAGAGAAACAATCATCATTGGCCTTGTCGTCATCATCGCCATAATCAATGTAATGAAAATCACCACTATCATTATTAACGTCATTTTCGCCAATATCATCAAAATGAGAGAGAGAGAGAGAGAGAGAGAGAGAGAGAGAGAGAGAGAGAGAGAGAGAAAGAGAGAAAAAGAAAGAGAGAGAGAGAAAGAGAGAGACAGAGAGAGAGAGAGAGAGAGAGAGAGAAAGAGAGAGAGAGAGAGAGAGAGAGAGAGAGAGAGAGAGAGAGAGAGAGAGAGAGAGAGAGAAAGAGAGAGAGAGAGAGAGAGAACGAACTTTATTTTCAAAGCGGCACAAACTGGGCACGCAGGCCCGTCTTTCATTACATTCGGCCTTTCCAAACATTCATATTCCATGCTGCAATTTTATTTTATCAGAGAGAGAGAGAGAGAGAGAGAGAGAGAGAGAGAGAGAGAGAGAGAGAGAGAGAGAGAGAACCAACTTTACTCTGAAAGATTGACACACTTGTCTGCCCAACACCCCGGTTCGTCTGCTCGTTTCCTGGTCATTATTTCAATTAAACGCATGTTCAATCTAAAACAACTATAACAACAAACAGGCCTTCGAGCTAGATGCGCGATAATAGGGAATGTCAGAATTACTGCAGTAACTATCAAAGTTAAATTCATCATCATCATCATCCTCATCTATAGTCATCCAACACTGCGTGTTGTTGGGTCACCAGTTGTTGTCTGATCAATTTCCAGGTCTTTCATGGTGTGCCTTTCCCCCTTTCCTTTTCTAACTGGCCCTGGGGAAAACAACATCGTTTTTGCGGTAGTCTATGTATTCTACTTTGCATGGCGTAAGAGCCTCTTCTTCTTCTTTGAGTTCACCGTCTGTAAACTCTGGTGGAAAGTTCTGGTTGTTCATCCACTTCTGGACTACAGTCCTGTTTCAGAACCTGTTTTTCGTTTGCATCTGTTTGACAGATCTGACTCATTTGTGTACAGACTGTTGGTTCCTGGTTTCACAGGCAGATGCACTTCGATTTCCAAGGAAGCTCTCAATTAGTCGACTTTTACGACATGCTTTTAGGTAGCAGTGTGTCTATTCTTGTTTTCCCTATAATAGGGCCCTGGAACCCACATTGGGAACGTAAGAGCTGATTAAGAGAGTCGGCCAGAGCAATTAGGAACAGGTTTACAGAAGGCTTAGCAAGGGCTGATATTTTATTTGGAGAAGCAAAGAAGAAGAAGAAGAGGAGGAAGAGGAAGAAGAAGAAAAATAAGGAAGAGAACAGAAAGATGGGGACAGTAACAGGAATAATTAGAATACAACTTTAATACTCAGAAGATTGAAATACACTGACTTAATGCCACAGCAAGTCACAACATGTCAGAATTCTAACCTCAGTGTTATTGTTACAGCCATACACGCACACAGCCACACATACACAGCCAGCCACAAATATATATACTCTCTCTCTCTCTCTCTCTCTCTCTCTCTCTCTCTCTCTCTCTCTCTCTCTCTCTCTCTCTCTCTCGCTCTTCAAAAATCGACATTTCAATGCAGCAGCAAGCAACAACAACATGCCGGAGTTCTTACCTCGCCGCCATTGACATAGTCCAGAACAAAATAGAGCTTGTCTGAAGTTTGGAAGCTGTAGTGAAGCCCCACAAGGAACGGGTGCTTGACGTTCTTCAAAAGTACGTTCCTCTCCGCCATGATGTGTTTGGCTTCATTCCTCTGCATGATCTTTTGTTTCTGCAGCACCTTGACAGCATAAACCCCGCTCTCCGTCCGGTGCCGAGCCAGGAGCACCTTCCCAAAGCTGCCTTTACCGATCACTTTCAGGAATTCAAAGTCCGTTGGCTTCACCCTGGGAATGTCCATGGTAAGTTATGAGAGAATTCTCATTGTTTTAAAGTAAGAATTCTCTTTGTTTTAAAGTAAGAATTCTCTTTGTTTTAAAGTAAGAATTCTCTTTGTTTTAAAGTAAGAATTCTCTTTGTTTTAAAATAAGAATTATCTTTGTTTCAAAGTAGCGAAAATCATTTAATATGTTTAGCAATGAATAAACAGATAACAACAAGGAAAACAAGATAAACACATTTTTAACAGGGACTTTAAAAGATATATAATTCGCCATCCTACACGATCAGCAGGTCCACGGATCAGGTCATGGTTCTGCTCCGGCCCCAGGCATGTGGGCACGTCATAAAAGTATTTATCTCCTCCCCCCCCCCTTTTTTTTTTTTTGCACTTCCCCGCCTTTTCTGTGCATTCTTCGTATCAATCTTGCCAGTTGTCATATATAACCACACCCATACACTGGCACACACACTTTCTGTAATCGAACAAACAAAACGATCTCTCCACTACAGGACTGTGCAGTAGATTTTCTCTGTATGATGGAAGTCTTCGAAATCCCCATCCCCCCCCCCCCTCCCCTCCCCCTATAGTTCCGTGCTGTCAGATTAAAAGTTCAAATTGTATTTCGATTTGGCTGCTTATGAAGCCTCCCCCCCCCTCCCACCCCTAGTGCCTAGTGATGCAGTCGCATCTCTGTATTCTCTGTACGACAGCATTGCTCCTCAATTCGGAAACTGCAGCTTGGGTACTACCGTCCCCTGGACTCCCGCAGCGCATCCAGATTTGATTGAGGCAGCTGCCACTCCCCTTAGACCGTTTTCAAGAACCCAGAGAGTCTGGCGACGAATAATGGAAGCACAGAGAGACAAAAATACAAAACGACTTACGCCGCCTTTTCGCTCGGTCCAAGATTGACTGGGTTGTCATCTTTATTTCCGTTCTAAATAGAAACAGACAAAAATAATTAATCAAAATGACAAACAAAATGGCAAAACCTAACCGGCATAGTGGTCAGATCGCTGGCTAAGCAACACAATCTGGCCAGCCATCAATGACCAGTAGTGTATATTTCACTGAGATACTATTTGTTGTTAATTATTTACATGTGTTTTTACACTTATTTTTTAAAACAATTTTCCATGTCTGTCTGTATGTGTTATTTCTTTAATATATTACATATTATTTCTTTACTGTTATACATGTCATTTAAAAAAATTGTTTTACATGTCATTTCTATACTGTTATATATGTCATTGAACCGGCATGGGAGGCGGCTTCCAATGGATCCTTTACTTGTAATAAATAGTTGCGCAGAGACGTGATCTCTCTCCATCGCCAGTCACAAAAGCTTCAGAAGCTAAGCAAATACATATAGGATTTGGATGGCTAGCTCTCCAGTCAAGCGGCGATGCGGAAATAAGGCAGTGAAAGAAGCCATATGTACCTTTTGAAAAGCAGTTATATTTAAAGATCTTTAAGTCATTTTTAAGAGTGGACTTTAAAGCTGGAATTATTTAATTGACAGTTGGTTTAAAAGAGTTTTGTGTTTGCGTCACTTCGGAGTCAGACGAATGCTGAAGCAAGGTCAATGCACCTTGGACAAAAACGAAAAAAAAAAAAAAACTTTCAAGTGGCTCGCACTTTCGACAAAATCTGACAGCTCACTTGGATATGTGCAGATTAAGCTGCACTTATCGACAGTACATTCTAACTGTGCGTGTGTGTGTGTATATGTGTGTGTTCTGGTTTCTAGTCTTTAAACTGACAGTTTGACATCACAGAGATCCGATCAGCCACTTCTCATAGTATTGAGTCTTTCTTGGTACTTCTGATTCTTACTTTGCTTTTTCCTCTTCTTCTTTTACTCTTACTCCTTCTTCTTCTTCTCTTGCTTCTTCGTCTTCTTTTTTCTTCTTCTTCTTCTTCTGTTAAACTTGTAATCTTCTTCTTATGAATCATGGAATTCCTCACACATAGTATATAATACTTTTCAATGGATCTGTTACCTAAACCTTTTGGTGCGGTCTCCATCTTTTTCTCAGTGTCACCCGATCTCCTATCGTTACACCCTTTTAAAGATTTCAAAGTATATGTGCAAATGGGCTCACCCTCCTTGAGTGTATTTATGGCAAAGGACCCTCCAGCGCCACACCCTCCCCCTTAAATATAGGGCAAGACCCCACCCCCTCCCCTTGAGCTTATTGCAAGAACCCCATACCCCTCCATCCTCACCCCAACATAACAGATTGTGATTTTAAATAGGACAATAGATTCCACAACAAGTGAAACAGAAAGGAGACACGTTTTGGCTAGAATGTGTTCTCAATATATAATTACATGCGTCCGTTATCATATTAACTAGATTTGAAACAACGGATGTGCAAACTGCTCTTGAAAACACACATTTCTTTGCCCTTTTGTTCAATGAAAAGATTTTTAAATAGGTTTTTTTTTTTTAAATTAAACTGAAACAAAATGTAAGTATAACAAAATGTTACAAGTACATTTGCGCTCACTTTCCAAACTGCTTGACGCCCCTTTTAAACATCCTTTCGTCTTTCTAGGTGGTGCCCCCCCCCCCGCCCCACTAATCCCAGCCAGATTGAAAACCACTGTTCTATACCACATTTTCATCGACCATTTTGCACTTGAGAGTTGTGTGGTTAAAATAATACGACCGCCTTTACTTCTCCTGACCATGGTTTAAAAAAGTCAGGTGTGCATCCTTTACAGGACGTTGCAGAACCAACCCCAGCCTTTATTTGGCTGTAGTGGTTTTTCTTGGCAAAATTTGACGTTCAGTAGTTTGCCATTGCTCTCTGAACGACCAGCTTTTGGTATTGCTGTCAAAACCAACGCAAGACAAATCGTCCGCAGCTGGGATCGAACCCGGCACCCCGGCATTACAAAGCGCGTTGGCAACTGCTAAGCCACAGACCTCGAGCGGGCCATGGTACCTCAACAATTATTGAGCAAAATGACTTCCGTTTATGACCGAACCATGTAGTATAGACGTAGGAAATAACGCAGTACTAAAAGTCACGCTCCAGTTGTCAGCACTGTTCCTCATTGAGTCACAGAATTCATGGTTGTTTGTTTGGGCGATAAACTTGTAGTCGGGACGTGAAATAACCCTCGGTCCAGGAAAGTTCCATACAAAGTTGTTTGCGTAAATTTCCAGCCAAAACATCGACAAGGACACCAGATGAAATGTTTCTTTTTTTTTTTTAATGTTATTTCCGCTGTAGAATGACACACATCGCTGGCACATTGTGACACCGTTGCCTAGGTTACATGTGTGGAAATATACGTGGATATGAAGTTACAACAGCAGCAATAGTATCAGTAGTAGTTGTTGTTGTTGTTGTAGTAGTAGTGGTGGTGGTGGTGGCAGTAGTTGTAGTAATAGTAGCAGATGGTAGTACAAGTAATAGCACCTAAGTAGTTGTGGTGGTGGTAGTAGTAATAGTAGAAGTGGTGGTAGCGGTAGTAGTGACGACATTAACATTAGCAGTAGCTGTAGTAGTGGTAGTTGTTGTAGTAGTAGTAGTAGTAGTAGTAGTAGTAGTAGTAGTAGTAGTAGTAGTAGTAGTAGTAGTAGTAGTAGTAGTAGTAGTAGTAGTAGTAGTAGTAGTAGTAGTAGCAGCAGCAGCAGCTGTAGTAGTCATAGTAATTCTAGTAGTTGTAGTGGTAGCAGTGGTGGTGAGCAACAGCAGCAGCCGCCACAGCAGAAGCATCAGTAGTAATGTAAGTAGTTATCGTGTTAGAAGAAGGAGGAAGACGAGGATGAGAAGAAGAAGAAAAAGAAGAAGAAGAAGAAGAAGAAGAAGAAGAAGAAGAAGAAGAAGAAGAAGAAGAAGAAGAAGAAGAAGAAGAAGAAGAAGAAGAAGAAGAAGAAGAAGAAGAAGAAGAAGAAGAAGAAGAAGAAGAAGAAGAAGAAGAAGAAGAAGAAGAGGAAGAAGAAGAAGAAGACGGAGGAGGAGGCAAATAATCATTAAAGGATAGATACACTTCTCAAAACGTGACCAGTGTGTGTAGAAATGAAAGGACCAGTAAAGCACCACCTACCATTGCGTCTTCACACTCTCGCTCGGCGTCTGCAGAGTCCACACTAAGAGAGGCCAGATCTCGCTGACTGTCTACAGACACAAGGATCCCCACGTCCGGGCTGTGGGAGACAGAGACAGAGACAGGGAGATCAATTATATGTCTCACATCTAGGTTGCGGGGGTGGGGGGAGGGGGGGGGAGGGGAGATCAGTTAGCTGTCTCGTGTAAGGGTTGTGGGGAAGGGAGATAAATCAGATTCTAAAATCTAGGTTGTGGGGAAGGGAGGTCAATTAGCTGTCTCATCTCTGGGTTGTGGGGAAGGGAGATAATTAGATGTCTAAAAAATATGTGTTGTGAGGAATGGAGATCGATTAACTGGCTTACATATGGGTTATGGGGAAGGGAGATCAATTAGCTGTCTCACATCTGAGTTGTGGGGAAGGGAGGTCAATTAGCTGTCTCACATCTGAGTTGTGGGGAAGGGAGATCAATTAGCTGTCTCACATCTGAGTTGTGGGGAAGGGAGGTCAATTAGCTGTCTCACATCTGAGTTGTGGGGAAGGGAGATCAATTAGCTGTCTCACATCTGAGTTGTGGGGAAGGGAGATCAATTAGCTGTCTCACATCTGAGTTGTGGGGAAGGGAGATCAATTAGCTGTCTCACATCTGAGTTGTGGGGAAGGGAGGTCAATTAGCTGGGACTGGAAAAATATCAATTATTCAAGTAATTATTTGGGTTGGAGTTTTTTTTTTTTTTTATACGGAGGAGGAAGATTTTTTCTGTGATCGAAACAGCAGAGAGATCAGTTAACTGTCTTCCATCTAGAATAGTAGAGACAGTCTGAGACAGAGGGATCAGTTAACTGTCTCCCATCTAGAATAGTAGAGACAGTCTGAGACAGAGAGATAAGTTAACTGTCTCACATCTAGATTAGTAGAGACAGTCTGAGACAGAGAGATCAGTTAACTGTCTTACATCTAGATTAGTAGAGACAATCTGAGACAGAGAGATCAGTTAACTGTCTTACATCTAGATTAGTAGAGACAATCTGAGACAGAGAGATCAGTTAACTGTCTTACATCTAGATTAGTAGAGACAGTCTGAGTCAGAGAGATCAGTTAACTGTCTTACATCTAGATTAGTAGAGACAGTCTGAGACAGAGAGATCAGTTAACTGTCTCACATCTAGATTAGTAGAGACAGTCTGAGACAGAGAGATCAGTTAACTGTCTCACATCTACAATAGTAGAGACAGTCTGAGACAGAGAGATCAGTTAACTGTCTTACATCTAGATTAGTAGAGACAGTCTGAGACAAAGAGATCAGTTAACTGTCTCAAATTTAGATTAGTAGAGACAGTCTGAGACAGAGAGATAAGTTAACTGTCTCACATCTAGAATAGTAGAGACAGTCTGAGACAGAGAGATCAGTTAACTGTCTTACATCTAGATTAGTAGAGACATAGTCTGAGAGAGAGACAAAGAGAGGCGAGATATGGGAAGTGATTTACAGAATTGAGGAGCAGTGAAAAAAAAAGAGGAGAGAGGGAGAGAGCGAGAGAGAGAGAGCGAGAGAGAGAGAGAGAGAGAGAGAGAGAGTTAAACGTATTATTGTTGACCAACTGGTCACTAATGAATCTAGTATCATGGGGTAAGTCAGCAGATGTGAAGATAGGAGAAACAACTGATGCATATTTACCAAACGATGAAGTTAAAAGAGACAAAGAAAACTACTCTAAAACATCCCCCAACAATAAAACACTAAAGAAACACTCTCAGCATTCCCTAAGAACTCCTTCCCCTGTACCGTTTACGAAGCCATTTAGTTCATGGCTGACACAACATGTAAGTAGCCTTGACCTAACTCCACGACCCCGGACAGGAAATGGTATTTTGTATTAAGCTAGGATATATTTAGACTGGGATGTATTTAGATATAGAAACTTCGTTACAGACGTCAGGCAAACAAAGCTCAACCACTTCCATAGAGTCTGCCCGAGAAAGATACTGAACACCAAGTAGTATGACAGGGTCCCAGCCACACTGTTGTTCTGGATACATCCTTCTCAATATCGATACCACCCTGATGCAGTCACAGATGGTTCGCTAGGCAAGTCACATCATCCGCTGGCCAGACCATCAGCTCCCAAGAACAATCTTTCATGGTGAGATAGAAAAAGATAGACGCTCTAATGGGGAACAACACTTCAAGGACACGCTGGAGATGTAACTTAAAGCCTTTAGTTTAAACGGTGACTCCTGAGAGACTGCTGTACAAGACTGGGCTGTATGGCAAACTTCTATACGTACAGGCGCAATGACCTGGCAGACATCTAGAAAAATGACAGCTGAACAGCGAAGGCAGGCTAAGAAACACCCGTAGCTCATGCCCTTTACCTACAGACACTGTTCCCTGCCCTTAACTACCCTAGATCCTTTCGAGTCCGTATAGGGTTTATGACTCATCTGCGGACCCACAGAACTCAACTATAGTTTCATGGCGGATGGAAGAACGCGTACTCATCATCATTTGGTTTGAGGTTTGAGGTTTGAACATCGGGTCAACATCAGTGCACACTGGTAGCAATCCAGAAGTGCTCCGTTCTTCTTCTAACTCAAGTCTGGGTCCGAAGAAGCTCAGCACAATGCACAGGCTCTGTAGCACAGGCGAGGATCCTGAAATACTTTGGGTATATTTTTTTTATTTCAAATTTTTGCCCAGGCAGCGCCGTTGGGCTACTTTTTAACATTTTCAACTGCAAAGGGATTTTTGGTACGTGCGCAACAATGCACACGGGCGCCCGATCTGACTACCCAGAGACCAGGGGAAATTACTAAAAGTCCAAGTCCACGTGAAAAAATCCCAGCCCTTAACGGGGATTGAACCCGGAACCTCTAGCACTCGATGCGGACACTATGCTTCGAGACGACGCAGATCCCCCTCCTCATCACTTATGATGGACGAACAACATAAACATGACAACATATTGAGACGAGTGTCACGGCAACACAAACTGAACATAACAACACATCTTCCCGGAAGCTACCTGGCGTGCACATAAATGTCAGGTGATCTCGTCAGTTACATGTTTGTTTATGTTGTCAACGGCCACCTTGGCTGGCAGGTCGAGGTCATAGAGTGCACGAGTGGGGTCAGAGCTGCACGTGCAGGGGGGAGGGCGGACTAACCTTTTAGGCATACAAACATTTCTCTCTCTCTCTCTCTCTCTCTCTCGTGTGTCTATCTGGAAATATCTCTCTCTCTCTTTCTCTCTCTCTCTCTCTCTCTCTCTCTCTCTCTCTCTCTCTCTCTCTCTCTCTCTCTCGTGTGTCTATCTGGAAATCTCTCTCTCTCTCTCTCTCTCTCTCTCTCTCTCTCTCTCTCTCTCTCTCTCGTGTGTCTATCTGGAAATCTCTCTCTCTCTCTCTCTCTCGTGCATCTATTTAGAAATCTCTCTCCATCTCTCGTATGTCTATTTGGAAATCTCTCTCTCTCTCTCTCTCTCTCTCTCTCTCTCTCTCTCTCTCTCTCTCTCTCTCTCTCTCTCGCGTGTCTATCTGGAAATATCTCTCTCCCTCTCTCGTGTGTCTATTTACAACTCTCTCTCTCTCTCTCTCTCTCTCTCTCTCTCTCTCTCGTGTGTCTACCTAGAGATATCTCTCTCCTCTCTCTCTCTCTCTCTCTTTCTCTCTCTCTCTCTCTCTCTCTCTCTCTCTCTCTCGTATGTAATTTTAGAAATCTCGCTCTCTCTTGTGTGTCTATCTAGAAATATCTTTCTCTTCTCTCTCTCTCTCTCTCTCTCTCTCTCTCTCTCTCTCTCTCTCGTGTGTCTATCTGGAAGTCTCTCTCCATCTCTCGTATGTCTATTTGGAAATCTCTCTCTCTCTCTCTCTCGCGTGTCTATCTGGAAATATCTCTCTCCCTCTCTCGTGTGTCTATTTAAATCTCTCTCTCTCTCTCTCTCTCTCTCTCTCTCTCGTGTGTCTACCTAGAGATATATCTCCTCTCTCTCTCTCTCTCTCTCTCTCTCGTATGTAATTTTAGAAATCTCGCTCTCTCTTGTGTGTCTATCTAGAAATATCTTTCTCTCCTCTCTCTCTCGTGTGTCTATCTGGAAGACTCTCTCTCTCTCTCTCTCTCTCTCTCTCTCTCTCTCTCTCTCGAGTGTCTATTAAAAAAATATGTCTCTCTCTCACGTGTGTCTATCTAGAAATCTCTCCCTCTCTCGTGTGTCTTTTTGGAAATCGCTCTCTCTCTCTCTCTCTCTCTGGTGTGTCTATCTGGAAATCTCTCTCTCTCTCTCTTGTGTGTGTCTTTTTGGAAATAGCTCTCTCTCTCTCTCTCTCTCTCTCTCTCTCTCGTGTGTCTATTTAGAAATATCTCTCTCTCTCTCTCTCTCTCTCTCTCTCTCTCTCTCTCTCTCTCTCTCTCTCTCGTGTATCTATTTGGAAATCTCTCTCTCTCTCTCATGTGTCAATCTGGGAATCTCTCTCTCGTGCGTCTCTCTCTCTCTCTCTCTCGCGTGTCTGGGAATCTCTCTCTCTCTCTCTCTCTCTCGTGTGTCTGGGAATCTCTCTCTCTTTCTCTCGTGCGTCTCTCTCTCTCTCTCTCTCTCTCTCTCTCTCTCTCTCTCTCTCTCTCTCTCTCGTGGATTCTCATCCATCGCTTGATTTTGCCCATTTATTTGTACCGATTGTTGCCTCCTTCCCTGTTGCCGTTTACCTGTTCCCCCCCCCACCCCCCAATATCAGGTTTAAACATGTTAGTTGCCTATCCTTTACAGGGCGTTGCAAAACCAACCCCATGTATTTTTTTGGTTGCTGTGGTTTTTCCAGGCACATTTTACATTCAGTAGTTTGCCATTGCTTACTGAACGATCAGCTCCCGATACCTTGGTCGAAACCAACACAAGACGGTCTGCTGCCAAATTGCCTGCAGTTGGAATCGAACCCGACACCCCGGCATTACGAAGCGCGTTCCCAACGCCTTAGTCACAGACGCAGATACCAATAGTAAGTAACGTAAAGGACTCTTTTTCACGCTTTTAGGCGCATTGGGCATATAGGGCTAGACCTATATTTTATAGACCAATCCTCACTTGGTGGGCTATGTGGTCAGCATCACGTCGGCCGCCTTTACTTCCCAGGGCTGCACCTCAATTCAAGGCTGGGTTGACCTGGGAGCCAGGGTCATTTTTGAAGAATGTCCTGCCCTGTCAGTACTCGAACCCACGACTTTCCCACCCGCAGGCAAGATATCATAGTAGGGCTGTGAAATGATAACTTCACAGACACCAGATCAAGCAAATATAAAGACAAGGAACATTCTACTTCTCACTGTTTTGTTAAACTAACGACCAACCATTTATCGGTTAATATCTGTACCGCCTCGAACACAGTCGAGATCTCTCAAATTATTCACCAAAAAGGTTTCGATTTTAACAACGAACAATTTAAATAAAAGCAGTTTTTTTTTTACATAACACAAACTTAAACAGTTATTGATATTATGAAACACATTTTGCATATTATGGTATTAAAAATGTTATTAAGCAATATTACACAACAGTTTAAAACCACTGCCTGCTCTACCTATCTGGTCACCTCGCACTTGGTTGGGGTGGGGTGGGGGGGGGGGGGAGGAGGGTAATTGTGTACTATTTCCACAATTAAAGTTGCTTAGAGAGCATTCACAATCTTTTTGAATACAGTTCAGACCTGATAAGGAAAACTCACCGGAGAAATTCCTCTTATTAGAATAAGCGTTAGAGCAATAAAAATTTCCAGGGATAAACAAACTGTTCTTTACAACAGAAATTTGCCACATCCGAGAATGGCACTGTATGATGTCGCGAGACCTCGCTCTCTTCCGCGCTACGACTCTGGTGACGGTGCGGAAACAGCAACAGCAGTTTTTGTTTTTTTTATTTTCAGACATAAACTATCCAAAATCGAATCCTGGCATTCAAGGATAAATTAAACTGTTAAACGCAATCACTAGCCTCTACTTTACATAAACTCACAGAAATGTCATTTATCAATTTCACAACAACGTATGCCGAATAATAAAACCTGTGAATTTAACCGTGAAAGTCAACTCTTACCTGGCTTACGAGCTTATGAACAAATTGTCCACAACTAAGAGAGACGTTCAGATATTACGTAAAATATATTGTAAATACAACAGGAATTGCAGAGAAATTAGACTGAAAAGCTCAACAAAATGGGGAAGCAGAAAAACGTGCACAAAACAACACAACGTAACGTTTCGGGTGGGCAGCCTTTTTCAAACATAAGTGAACTTCACAAACGTAACAACGAGCAATGTTTGAAAAAGGCTGCCCAGCCGAAACGTTACGTTGTGTTGTTTTGTGCACGTTTTTCTGCTTCCCCATTTTGTTGAGCTTTTAGTCTAATTTCTCTGGAATTCCTGTGTATTAGCTTGACTGCAGTCACCCCCATTTTTTCACCATTGTAAATACAACTGCGTATGAAAAGACCAACAGCAAATCTAACATTTTAATCACTTACAAGAAGAAACTTCAACTGGCAGTACAAATATGAAACTTTGTTTTTCTACAAATCCAGAATTTGCCTTGTGATACGGGTTCTCGATTATAAATAGAATAAAATATCAAAGGAAGTGGTATGAAACAAACACGTTTTCAATGAGAAGGCCCAAAACTGAAGTCGGGGATACATGACCCAAAATCGGGTGTACCTGTTGGTGCCTTGTTCTCCATTTCCGGTTCAGGGTGTTAGGCAACCCCTACCACTTCACTCTGGTTTTAACCGCACCATTTCTACCGTTCCAGTTCAACAAACGAGAAAGGTGTTTATGTGTTGATACTTTTGCATGTCCCTCAGTAAAGATTTTTTCTTTCTTTTTTTCAAACAAATTATAGCGGTTACAATTCTAGAATCTCCAAGATGGCGGAAGTTCCCTTTTCTTATAGCTGCTGCTCCCCCCCCCCCTTTCCCCGTTGTCTCGAGACATGGTGTCCGCCTCGAGTGCTAGAGGTTCCGGGTTCAATCCCCGGTAAGGGCTGGGATTTTTTCACGTGGACTTGGACTCCTATGCTCTTTGGGTAGTGAGATCGGACGCCCGTGTGCATTGTTGCGGACGTGAACAATCCCTAAACAGTTGGAATTCGAAAAGAGTAACTTAACGGCGCTGCCCGGGCAAAATTTGGAGTTAAAAATCTACCCAAAGTATTTCTGATACTTCTTGTGTGGGTGTAGGTTCTGATGCCTCTGGTGTGGGTAAGAGTTCTGATGCTTCTGGTGTGGGTAAGAGTTCTGATGCTTCTGGTGTGGGTAAGAGTTCTGATGCTTCTGGTGTGGGTAAGAGTTCTGATGCTTCTGGTGTGGGTAAGAGTTCTGATGCCTCTGGTGTGGGTAAGAGTTCTGATGCTTCTGGTGTGGGTAAGAGATCTGATGTTTCTGGTGTGGGTAAGAGTTCTGATGCCTCTGGTGTGGGTAAGAGTTCTGATGCCTCTGGTGTGGGTAAGAGTTCTGATGCCTCTGGTGTGGGTAAGAGTTCTGATGCCTCTGGTGTGGGTAAGAGTTCTGATGCTTCTGGTGTGGATAAGAGATCTGATGCTTCTGGTGTGGGTAAGAGTTATGATGCTTCTGGTGTGGGTAAAAGTTATGATGCTTCTAGTGTGGGAGTGGGTGTGGGTTCTGATGAAGTAGTCGTTCTAATTATTAGGCTAATTTAAATACGTGCAGCCCCCCCCCCCCCCGCCCCTTTAAAAAAAAAAATTCAAAGGCGTCTCAGCGAGTAGACAGCATCTTGCGTTACCCCACTGTACGGGTGACAGTAACCCCGATACCAACACCTCTGCCAAAGCGTGACACATCATAAGTGACAACAGCTTGTCCCTGTTACAGGACATCCCCCACGCAGCAGATCGTGGAAAGCGAAGGTTGAAAGTGGGGCACGTTCACCGACGGTTGTCGTGAGTCTTGGACCAAAAACTTACCCCTAAATCAATTGTTGCATGACGTTTGTGAGGAAATCCTGGATTTAATTATGTGAATTCCTCGTGTGGGCTCCTCTCTCACTTCTTCCTCCTCCTGCTTCTTCGCTCTTAAACGGGAGTTAGCATGTTGTGCTGTGGTTTACAGCTAGGCTGTGATATCTCCACTTTTCTGCCCTGATCATCTAATTTCAACAACGTCTTAATTACTAGTCCTTTATGGGGCAGTAGGTCTATTCTTTATACCTGGAAAATAGGGCCCCTGAACTACACACGGTGTGTTGTGTTCGTTTAGTTTTAAATTAAAATGAGAGAGAGAGAGAGAGAGAGAGAGAGAGAGAGAGAGAGAGAGAGAGAGAGAGAGAGAGAGAGAGAGAGAGAGAGAGAGAGAGTTCCTTCAGAAAATACATTTGAGAATATTTAAATTAAAAACCGCGAGTTCTGAACTGTTGAGTTAATCAGGTTTTAAAACTGTCCGCGGTGAGCAGAAATTGCTCCCACTCGTCGCAGACACGGAACCCACTTGCAGCAGACGTTGCTCCCACCCGTAGCAGACATTGCGCCCACACGTCACAGACACTGCGCCCACCCGTCACAGACACTGCGCCCACCCGTCAAAGACACTGCTCCCACCCGTCTCAAATACAATACGGTGTCTCCCTTTCCAAATGATTCCAGTCGTTTGCTTCACGCTTTCGAGCTCATTTGTTCATCTGACGGATGCGTCATTCGGTTTACGAATGTAGTTATACGCAATTAGCTGGGCTCGTTGTTGGATCTACAGAGCTCATGTTATGTGCGACGCTCTCGGCTGGCAGCAGGCCGTTCTACGAGGAGAAAGAGCTACATGGGAAAAACCCCAGTGCAATGAAGTCGACTGTCTTAACTTTAACTTTATATTTAAGTAATCGATAAGTGTTTGGCAAACTTGACAAATGAAAATACAAATTAATGTAACAATAATCATTTGTGTCAAGAAGAATAAAATTATTTAAAAAAAAAAAAAATTACTTTGTTCGGCAACAGAAGTATGCTGCTCCATTCATTAAGGATCAAACGTTAGCGTGCTTATACATTAGAAAATACAAGTATAAATCTCATTCACTAGAAAACTGAAAAATTTTATCTCGGAAAGTTACTCCTGTTATCTCATTCATAAGAAAACAGAAGTGGGTACCGCTTCGATAGTTCCCAGTGTGTGCTCCGGATCCCCATCGTGGGGGCAACAGAATAGACCCACCAGCCCCAACAAACATGTTGTAACACTGGACTAAATATGGGTGCTAACTTGGCAGTTGAAACGGATCTGCCTAAGAGGGGAGGAACCAATAGTTCGCATACGAATAAGCTAGATCTGTTAAAGGGACGGGCATGCATAACTCAAGTTCTGGGACAAGACTAAAGTCCAGAAGTGGATGAAAATCAGGATTTTCGGCTTGAGTTTACAGCAGGTCAACTCAAAGAAGAAGAAGTAGGAGGAGGAGGAGTAGGAGGAGGAGGAGGAGAAGAAGAAGAAGAAGAAGAAGAAGAAGAAGAAGAAAAGAAGAAGAAAAAGAAGAAGAAGAAGAAGAAGAAGAAGAAGAAGAAGAAGAAGAAGAAGAAGAAGAAGAAGAAGAAGAAGAAGAAGAAGAAGAAGAAGAAGAAGAAGCAGAAGAAGACGAAGAAAAAGAAGACGAAGAAGAAGAAGCTCTGATAGAAAGCATACCCCTGCTATCTCACTGATAAGTAAACAGAAAAGTTTTACCACATTAAAAAATAACAGTTATTTTGTCAAACGTGAACAAAATCAACTTACTTGCTTTCGATGTTGTTGTTGTCCTGATTATCCTGTTCACGTCCCGGGGGACATTTCTGCTTCTGTGATGTCCTCTTCTCAGTTCCAAGAATGCGTACCAAAACGTTCTTCATTGTCCGTTCAAACATCATCCACCAACAAGCACTTCAATATTTCTCAGTAGATTTACTATGAATTGACTCGCTGCCTACACAAGATCTAACTTTTACCACAACAAATATTGTCTCCTACAATGCTACACACAATATTTCCTCTGATTTAGAACAGTAACTATATAAACAACTTTTATACAACTTTAGAATCTTAATCTGAGCTACTAACAACGAAATCTGGTTTTTTCTGACAGTGATATGCCAGGCTGCAAAATAGTCCCTGTGTTGTGGTCTAATCTTTTGACGTCAGCTTGGCGAATGGCCAGAGATACTTACTGCAACAGAATTAAAAAGAAATATCTGAAATGTAAAACTATTAGCTTAAACATTTAGCCACCTCTACAAACTGCTACCATGTAAATGAAAAGATATAAATTTACAAATTATAAATAGCACGCATTACAAGAATTTAACGGCCAAACATATGCTGACTTACTTTATTTATAACCTCTAAATACATCATCGAGGTACGCCCTAACACAAATTGTACAGGTAAAGCAATTAACAGCGAAAGTGTTTCATGAACAATGGAGGGGTCGCGTTTTTCTACTTGTCCTGGTATGGCTAACACAGAGGTGCTTGAACCTAGGGACTCAACACTAAACCCACAGGTACCCCTAGTCTTTTTTATTGGGGGATGGGGGGGGGGGTGACTTGGGACCCCTCTACATAAAAACTTGCAAAGGGCTTATGCCGGCCCCCCCCCCCCCCACACACTCCCCCCTCCCCTCCCATTCTCATTGTCCTCCCGCATAGACGCTGTACGGATTATGATAATAACGAATCTTTGACACTACCACGACTGCGTCACCTGGGAGTAAAGCATGGTGAAGCACGTCTATGCAGCTTTTGAGATTGAGGTAGGAGACATTATAACCACCTCCTCATGGAAACTATCATTAGAGGTACGGTGGGGCGACTGTTGCATATGTTTGTGTATTCTAGACAAAGCAGTAAGATTCACAGTGTTCGTAAATTGTTGCTGTGATTGTTATTCGACATGTATGCTTCGTCAATATAAAATTTATGTAACCTATGGTGCCATTGCAATGGGTTGAAATGAATTCTGTCCGTATTCCACAGTCGTGGATTTCAAGCTGTACGATAGACATGGCCAATGAGACACCTTTTTTGGGGGTGACTAGTTGACCATGTTCTTAGTGCACTTGTATTCATGGCGAGGCGCAGACGCCGTCAGGAGATGACAGGTTCAATTCCCAGCACGGTAACTATAGCTTTCGATTTTTATGTTGTCTAGTGTGTTCTTCTATCTTTCTACTTCTTTCTATGAGTGCCGATCAATACACTTTCTTTTCTGTTACTTGATTAATTCAATGTACAATGACGTCCATTGTGATAACAAAACATAATACAACACGTACAGAAGTTCTATTTTTTTAGTCTTTTTATAGTATCAAATATGGTGTCAAATATAGTATCAAATATGGCATGAAATATAGTATCAAATATGGTGTCAAATATAGTATCAAATATGGCATGAAATATAGTATCAAATATGGTATTCTATTTATTTGCTATTGAGCACACAGTAATAAAACTGTTACTATAGAATTACCAATGTTGAACTCTAGGAAAGAACTAGAAAAGTTCCAATGGATATTCTTCTTCTTCTTCTTTGCTCACCGGCTGTAAGCTCCAGCGGAAAATCCTGGTTGTTCGTCCATTCGGACTTTGGCTTTGTGCCAGGGCCTGAGTTTGTGTTTTACTGGCTTTTTTGTGCGCAGTTAGTTGTTGTTCATTACCGCGAGGGCAGAGGCACTCCGACTTCAAAGGAGGCTCCAATTTGTTGACTCCTACGGCATGCTTGTTGGGGAGGCAGTGGGTCTGTTCATGTTATTCCCACAATGAGGCCCGGGAACCCACACGAGGAGTTACAGTGGACCAAGAAATGAGTAGAAGACGCTGGCATTGGAGGAGAAAACCGGATAACAATTTAACTAGACTGTCTTTACACTGGAACCCACGGGGACAAAGAAATAAAGGCAGACCCAAAAAACACATTGAGGAGGAAGATATATAGTGAGGCTGAAAAGATGGTTAGGACATGGGGAGAGCTGCATAGATTAGTGAAGGATAGAACCACTTGGCGTGAGCTGTTTAAGGGTCTGATTGATTGGCGTTCAACCCCAAAAGGACACCACACCGTGCGATAAACACTCGGTGACATGAAGTGCTACCATTAGGATGAGGATCAGCCGAGGATAGGTCCTAGAAACCCCGTTAAACCGTTTGGTTATAATACGGGCCCCGACCACAGCCGAGATGGGGGCTTTAAAAAATGGATCCCATATTGAAAAGGCATCTTAAACCGTCTGAGGGTCTGACTGACTGACTTTCTACCCTACCTAGACATCAACATGCGATAAACACCCGATGACACAAAGTGCCACAATGTGGCTGAGGATCACCGTGGCGAGGTCCCGGAAACCGCCTTCAGCAGCCATTAGGCCATATTTATGGTCGGGCTATATTGCGGCCCCTGGCAAGAGCCAGGGTAGGGCTTTAAAATAAAGAAAAATTGCATCCCTCAAGGAGATAAGTGGTGTTTAAGGGTCTATGCTCCACTAGTGAATAGAAAGACCAAAAGAATGAAAATACTTTAAACACCAATTATTAGTAAGCCCGCTCTAGATTTGCATTTGCTATTCACAGAAACCCGGTTCAATCTTTGCCAGCGCGGTTATATTGTAGCACCACAAAGAAGCCTATAGTCCAGTATGGGTAGTATAAAAAATTATTAGTATTAATGCACGCTTAAAAAGGATTTACTCCCTTAAGACCCACGCCGCTGGAGAATTATAATGAAGCTAGGCGCCATCGTCCCACTGATTTCGTTGTTGCCGCATGCATGCGCTAACAAACCGTGTTTATGTAATCGCCAGGTTCACATGTCAGCCAACAATCTTATTCGGAAATAGTTCCTAATCTACAGTTTATCTCCGGACTGAATGTTTTCATTAGTTGATTGCTTGTCTCCCTTGAGAATTTTGCAGTACATACCAAAGTGGGTTATCTACCTTTCTGATCACGCGAACCACTTCATGTGTTTATGTCTTTTCTTTATTGATATAAAAGGTAATAGTCTAGTACTTTTCAGACACAAACACGTACGCATGACCGCACATACAACACAAAATACAAACACACACACTTTCACAAAGAGACCGCACATATATAGGTTAAGACAGCTCCATAACATTTTCTGTATCTGGAGTGTGAAATCGACCTAGCCCACATGGATTGTCATAAAAGGCGCTAGCTAATCACAACGGTGAGCCATACTACTTAACTGGGACGCTAAAAGGACAGGATGGCACCTTAATAGGACTGACCCATATAGGGACTCCTCAAGAGGGGTAGACAGGCACACAAGAAGGACATATATGAGGACAAGGTCTTAAGAACAGCGCACAGGACATAATACCCTTGGAGGAAAAAACCACATAAGATAGAAGAAGTGCAACCACAATGACACAGCACACAATCACACACATCAGAGTGACACAATCACACACAGCAGAGTGACACAATCACACACAGTAGAGTGACACAATCACACACAGCAGAGTGACACAATCACACACAGCAGAGTGACACAATCACACACAGCAGAGTGACACAATCACACACAGTAGAGTGACACAATCACACACAGTAGAGTGACACAATCACACACAGTAGAGTGACACAATCACACACAGCAGAGTGACACAATCACACACAGCAGAGTGACACAATCACACACAGCAGAGTGACACAATCACACACAGCAGAGTGACACAATCACACACAGCAGAGTGACACAATCACACACAGCAGAGTGACACAGTCACACACAGTAGAGTGACACAATCACACACAGCAGAGTGACACAATCACACACAGTAGAGTGACACAATCACACACAGCAGAGTGACACAATCACACACAGCAGAGTGACACAATCACACACAGCAGAGTGACACAATCACACACAGTAGAGTGACACAATCACACACAGCAGAGTGACACAATCACACACAGTAGAGTGACACAATCACACACAGCAGAGTGACACAATCACACACAGCAGAGTGACACAATCACACACAGTAGAGTGACACAATCACACACAGCAGAGTGACACAATCACACACAGCAGAGTGACACAATCACACACAGCAGAGGGACACAATCACACACAGTAGAGTGACACAATCACACACAGCAGAGTGACACAATCACACACAGCAGAGTGACACAATCACACACAGCAGAGTGACACAATCACACACAGTAGAGTGACACAATCACACACAGCAGAGTGACACAATCACACACAGCAGAGTGACACAATCACACACAGTAGAGTGACACAATCACACACAGTAGAGTGACACAATCACACACAGCAGAGTGACACAATCACACACAGCAAAGTGACACAATCACACACAGCAGAGTGACACAATCACACACAGTAGAGTGACACAGTCACACACAGCAGAGGGACACAATCACACACAGCAGAGTGACACAATCACACACAGCAGAGTGACACAATCACACACAACAGAGTGACACAATCACACACAGTAGAGTGACACAATCACACACAGCAGAGTGACACAATCACACACAGCAGAGTGACACAATCACACACAGTAGAGTGACACAATCACACAGAGTAGAGTGACACAATCACACACAGCAGAGTGACACAATCACACACAGCAAAGTGACACAATCACACACAGCAGAGTGACACAATCACTCAAACACAGTAGAGTGACACAATCACTCACACACAGTAGAGTGACACAGTCACACACAGCAGAGTGACACAATCACACACAGCAGAGTGACACAATCACACACAGCAGAGTGACACAATCACACACAGCAGAGTGACACAATCACACACAGTAAAGTGACACAATCACACACAGCAGAGTGACACAATCACACACAGCAGAGTG